CTTGAGGCCATTTGTCCCCGAGTAAGCTAGTTAGCGCTGCGTGAACTCTACGAAGGGTGAAGGTTCTTCGGAACAAAAACAAATTCCACTTCCCATAGGCCCAAATGTAAACAAGAGATCTTTTTTCTAGGGAATGTATGAAAGCTCAGATGTCGCCAATTTCTGGAAGCGTATACATTAACTCTATCATGCTAATTCTGAATTTGCAATGGAGCAATGGTTTATGACGGGTATAGAATTGCGAATGCTTGACACATCCTGTAGGATGGAGAGGGTAACAATCTAAACAGTATTGCACCCAACCCAACGTTTGGGGTATCAGTAGACGCAGTCTTGATGAACGCCTCATCCTCATAACTGGTGTAGAAGCTATGCGGCGTTTTATTTCGTCAAATGCCGTTTGTTGATGGTGACCCCAAACAAATACTTTTTTCCTTCATCAGTTCGCGCCATGGCTCAGCAATGTCCGTGAAACCCTGCAAATAACGTAGGTAGTTAGAACACATACTTAGAAAAATGATTTACTTCGGTGGAGTTCTGTGGACAAAGAGCCTCGGTGATGGCACGCGTGTCGTCAGCACTCGGCTTCATACCGTCCGTTGCTAAAATGTGGTCCAGGAACTCGATTTCACCAGTATTAAATGTGCACTTCTCGAGGTTTAACCGTAGGTTAAGATCATGTATATGACTTAACACAGCATGCAGTCGTGAATCATGTTCGTCGTCCATGTAAAAAACTTGACCAGGTAAAATGGCGAAACAATGAACCACAGACTTTTGCCAAGCTTCTGGGGCTGAACTCAACCTCGCTGGCAATACTTTGTGCTGTAAGAGCCCGTCCATTCTAAGAAATGTGGTCAGCGATCTTGACTCCTGAATTAGAGTCATGTGAAACAAAGCGTTCCTCAGGTCAAATTTGGAAAATTATCAGTCGCCGGCCAGGTTGACTAGTAGTTCATCCGCGGTTTAAAGCACAAAATTTTCGACCACGATTTGACGATTTATGGCATGCAGGATATTACATGTTCTCATTGTACCGTCCTTCTTGAGGAAAGTAACCATAGGGTGGACCCATTCAAAACAGTTAATGGGTTCAATTAGATCATCTGCAATCATTCGTCGTAACGCTGACGAAACAGGCTCTCTTCTGGCCAAATGAATTGGACGTGGCTGAGCAATAGCTACTGGTTTAGCATCCTGCTTCAGGCATATGAACAATGAACTGGTTAAGAAGCGTTGCTTTACAAGTCGCGTTGGATAGTTGGTAGGAATATCGAAATAATAATATTGATAATAATAATGATGATAATAGTAAAACTGTTTGCACTTCTAATATGAAAATGTTGACTTATCGACTGCTCCGCTGTATCATCGTCTGTACGCTTGCTGCTTTAGGTTCTTCCATATTTGAACTTTGCAAAACTTCTGAGACCTTTAACCGAAGGTCAGAAGAAAGATATTTCCGTTTTCTCCGCCATCGACCCAAACACATCCATTGCTTGTTGCTCTGACTGAACCACAAGTTTTAGGATACTAGATCCGCATGATCTATAATTTGGTGAGAAAGCTATTCTGGTGAGCCATAGCGCCACAATATTATCCGAAGGTAATATATCACGAATGAACCACCACTGTTCCAAATCTTTCTTTCCGGTCACTTGAACATAGTTAGTAGGATGTTCTGGCACGCCATGTATGAAGGTTGTGTTTAGACAGTCTTGCTCGCTGTGTCCTTCTTCGGTGTTTCTTTTTGATTGTCACGCGCTCTAAGGGACATCATGATAGATGCGTATCCCACCGGATCCGTGTCTTAGCGCGCTTGCGGAGAACAAAACGTTTTCTACGTCGATAGAGGATTCTAGTATTACTCGGATAAGTCCGGGTTCTCCATATTGTGGCGAGTTCGGATGACGAGTAATTCGTACTAGGTTTGTAGGCTTGGCTTTGCCACTCATCAGCACGCACAATGAGTTCCATTGGTCTTGATCGTCCGAAAAGTTATCCCGTAATGTGATGACGGTAGATTCGGGGACATTTGAGCATACAACAGTCCACACACTATTGTTGGATCCATTTTTCCTTGATTTACAAGGTAAGGTAATCGTTTGTCCTTACCTGCTGACAAGTGTTGAGGGTTTATTGTTTATCCCTCTATTCGCGATAATGATGTTTACAACAGAAGAGGCCGCAACGGCGGCCTCCCGGCTGACCTTTACAGCAATCTGTATATGTAACTGATGTTCCGGCGGGCTTTATCTCGACAAGAGACATTTGAGCTGCGGCTCGAGGATTGGTGTTCGGCTGCTTCATCCTTATTAATACTAGATGTCAGCTCTAGTGGAATTTGATTGACCAGACGCTTAGAGTGGTGCCTGGTTTTCGTTACCATAAGTACTGTTTGACTCTCGTAGGTTCGGTCAGTTTTCGTCCGGCCTTCTACCAAAGTTGGAGAAGACAATGGATGTGTGGACGTGGCTGATTGCAGTTCAAAGGAAGCGGATTGTGCAGCATTCCGTTGCTTAGAGACTGCGACAGTTCCGTGGTGCATACTCATTTCCATTGAAGTAATCTTATCGTTTATCCTCTACTCAGCTTATACGGTTAACCGGTTGCATTTCTGAACTAGGATTTAGCAAATAGTTAAAGAGTGGGATAGTGGAGCACGCAGTACAGAACCAAAGCGCATCTTGTGAGCTATTTCGCTCTCGTAGCTGTTGTTGGGACAGCCTTGCACCTTTTGGATGATACCATTCCAAACAGTGCGAGCAAGACAAACCTACTATAAGTAATCGAGGACATTCTCCTAACTCGCAAAGGCCTTTCGCTTTGAACCTTTTCGGACTCGCATTTCTGCCCTTAAACGTGGTGTCGTTATCTGACCCCGTGGGTTGGCGTTCTGTACTTTTCCTGCTTTGAGAGCGGCGCACTACGGTCAGGCAAACGTTGTGGTCAAATGAGCGGTCAGCTTGTTGGTGCGGTCCGTGTGATGGGTTATGCAGATGCATTGGCTGAAATGGTCACAAGGAATGGCGAGTGATTGGAACCTGCTAACTGAATCTGAACACAGCGTAGAACACAGATTGAGAGATAACAAATGCTTTTAGTGTTGCGTTGAGAAACGCCTGATTGGAACATGCTTAGGCTATTCGGACAGTCTAGAGAAGTCTGTATCAAATGATGTCACAGAGAAGGGCAGTCAGCGCAATGTGATTGAGGTACCCGCTTGCGCTTAATCACGGATGACAGTGAAAACGGTTAGTGATGGCACAGACTTTAATCGTGGAAGATAATTCCACCTATGGTGGATCACTGTGTATGGCTGGTAAATCCGGTTCGAATAAGTGTACATTGACAACGCTGAGAGAATATGGGGAGAGGATAGAGCGGAATAATCCAAATGAACTAGGAGTACGCACTTCCCGCCGTGGACGGAGGCGGGCTCGCATTTCATCGTTTGTTCAAACAGTTTCGGCTATGGTGTCTGTATGTCTGATAGGTTAACCGCCATGATATGCATATGAGCGAGTGACGTACACAGCACCTGATTATTTTACGGCTCCAAGTTGCAAAAGCCTCACCATAAATCCTCGTATTTCTACCAGGGCCTGTATATGGCTGTCAGATCGATAGGCTGAAGAATGTATAGGTATGTCATGTAGGTGGCCGTCATAAAATCTACTTGATGCTATCGTAATGGGAGAGACTGAATCAACTTCCATATCAACATCTGTCGTTCTATCGTGTGCAATGACGGCAACAGTACGAATATCCGGCATAGGGAGTTTAGGCTCTGCACAAGGGAAACGTTATAGAGAAACAATACCACTGTTATCAATGGAAAATACATTTTCAGATGACTGTAATTGCTGAGTAGAAATGAAATATGTAGGATGCAACTGAGAAATGCGTACTGAACGACAACAACGGACAAAATCTCCACGCTTACAGCACCTTTTTAGTGCAGTTCTAAGGTAGGGCATTTAGCGAAATTGGCTTTGTGCTGTAGGCTGCCTCGGCGTAAGCATCTGTGTAGAGATTGGGGTTCGATTGGCGAGCGATGAATCTTGGCAAACACTTGCATGTCTTCGTGAGTAGCGAAACCTTGCAACTGTTCGGCGGTACATATTTTGAGGCGAGCTAATTCCACGGCTTTATCCCAAGTCAACTTATTACCGTTTCGTAAATATGCGTTCCAGAATTTGATTACTTGTGACTCCGCTAATGAAATGTAACCCTAGCATGACACCCTCGATTCTATTTTTCGATATGGTTGGATACTCGCAGGGTCCTACACCGCGTACGAAGCGATCAACAAAACTGTCTAGAGTTTCCGTTGGTCCCTGTGTAAGTCGCTAAAACTTGAGACAAGCCATGAAGAGGTTTGTACGTTGGCCCCATGAATTGTCCAGCCATTCCAAGGCCTCCGTTAGGGTAGCTTGTAACTGAAGCACCAAAGCAACAAATTGACGTTGTCCCTCATCACCGATTAGGTGTCTGAGAAGCCTCAGTTTATTGCGTTCTGTGTAGTTAGCAGCCGTGTGCAGTAGGTCAAGGTAGTTCGTGAACGATGTTTTGTACTGTGCCCATGCACTTTCGGTAGGACGTAAGGTCGGATCAGACCAGTAAACTGTACAGGATGTAATTCCTTGGCATAGTTTCATAAGCCGGGACGCCAGAGTTGTGTATGAAAAGTCGCGTGCACGAGCCGAAGCGAAAAGGCGCTCCGGTAAACAAACTAATGTCATCTAAAACGTATGTAACTACGTGAGTACATTATGAAGCACATAGAAGAATGAACCAATAGGGAAGCCGATAAATATGCACTTATGTGTGTGTGTGTGTGTGTGTGTGTCGGGGGCCGTGTGCGCTGTCTATCTAAACCCGCGGTCACACAAGCTGGACGAATACACAACAGGGCTAACCAAGAAGCATCCACTTGAACTGATCACAGTTGCACAAAGCGGATATACGACACAGACTGGGCACGGCTCGGCGAGTACTAAACTTCGCGTATGTGTACGTTGAGAACAGTGGAAATAAGGGTTTTGCATCGGTAAAAAGCCCGTGATTGACAGGTTCCATAGGACGAAAATTGCATAACTAGGAAAATAAACTAGTACGTGGAAGGTTTGCCCTCAAACTACTGAACATATTTGCATGCCGCATATGAACATGCAGCTGCTTCACCCACCCTAGCGGAAAAAATGAGACAAACAAAAGTACCCTAAATGGATATCCACATATTACACCAACTCTAAACTTGCTTTCTGCTAATCTACTCTTGCGATACTATGTGCAAAATAGTGTGGCCGTCTACAAATAACACCTCTAATCAGCCCTAATTTTTTCTTATCTGAAACCGACTGAACATCCTTCAATAAAACTCACACTCTCCGGGTGAATAAAAGTTACGAAGTCAATTCCGAAATGTCCGACAAATCCTTTCTGAACCATTGCCTTTGCCAAGCGAGTACTGACGGCGTTCAGCCACCGTGGATCGACGGATGATGTGGGAACTGTAGAAGAGGGATAGCGACGAAGATACTCAAAGGTGTTCGCAATAGTTGGCTAACTTTTCTTCTGATCGGATGGTGTATCACATTTAATTGAATCGTTTTTCAACACTTGTCTACTATTTTAGTTATTCGTCCCAGTATCTAACAAGGTAGCTATTCTAACCAGCAATCCTTGAAACGGCCGAGGATGTGCACGCACCAGTGACTAGTCTGAACAGTGCGAAAGGGACAAATGATGCTATTCCAGATTAGTGCCTAAGGTATTTGAATTGTGATTTGCTGGGGTAAATCCGTGAACTTTCACTGAAGGTCCTACTAGTTATTAGTAATCTGTCTGGTCACCTACTACATCTCTAGCCCCTTGGTCACGTTGGTCACAGCACGCTGATTCGGAAAGTACGTGCTGACCATGGATCCCTTCGGGCTGGTTTTAGTTCCTGGCTTGCGTAAGATGGGTGCGAAGGGTATTTGTTTAGGAATAACGACATACCCTGCTAACGCCCAAAGGAACTTGTTTTGGCTTCCATGTTTATCTAAGGTTAAAAAAAACAACGTATGCCCCAAAATTCAAGCATAAATAAAGTCGAATATTAACACGTAACTTCATTGAGGCCAAGACGTTACTAGAAGAGGATCCACGCGAATTTTTCTGTGACTCAGTCCAGGTCAAGTGGAGTTTAGAACGAAGATAGCAAACTCTGTAGGTAAAGTGGATGAATTTACAAAGCCATGGTACATCCATCTGAACATCACAAGAACAGCTAGTTGGGTACGTGCATTGTAGTCCCCAGATGCCAACAGACCTATTTCTTTGGGGCCCTCTTTTGAGACCTCGCTATGTGTGTGTATGGCCAGTACTGGGGTTTTCGAGGCTCATAGCCAATCATGACGCTAGACACTGAAAGCCTTAGAGAGGCGAGTGCCTCGCAAATATCACCTTGTCTGTTTGTGAGCACGGCAAGTTGAGGGTGCGTTGATCCTGGATAATTACTTCAATCATCCATGTTTTGTACTAGGCCCCCTTCTCTCTTTATTATCATTATTCGCCATTACCTGAGTCAGTGGGATCATATGGTAGTGAAGTATTGGTACGAAATCTTGTCATTATGTTTCCATTTACTTTTGTTATTATTGCCATATCATAGCATAATTGCGGTTAAGCTTGCTCTGCTGCGGTTTGTGACCGCGCTGCGCGACCTACATCATTCGAACAAGTGGGATGGTGAGCATGCTCATATACACATTACAAGTTGTGTGCTCTAGATGGCTTCGGCTGCAGTGCTACTTGGAACCATGGTCAACAGTAAGCTGACGACAAGTTGAGCTGAGATGGGTTTTCCATGATTGCTACCTTCCACCGCCTCCACACGGATCTTTCACGTTTCAGTCGCAGCCCAGTCGTGCAAACATTTGAGTAAGCGGTCTTAACAACGACAGTAATGTCGCACGGTTTTCACTCTTTCGATAAATGGTGTAGAGAATTAACTTGGGCGAAATTCCGTAAGACGAAGAGAAACGGTGAACTGGAACACCGTTATGGGAACGAAGCAAACCAGCCTGTGATCAACTGTTTCCTGTTGGAAATAGAACTTCCTAAGGAGTAGGGGGATTTGGTATGAGTACAGCTAGTTCATCATAGTCCACTGTCATTCAGTAGACGATGGCAAGTCTGGAAAAGCACCAGACACCGGTGGTCCAACCTCCTGGGTCTCGTCAGTAGTGAGCCTTCCAGCCGGGTTCCTCCCCCATGACTTCCGGGTGACAGCAACCAGTGCCACATTGCCATGGGTGACAGCCGCGGGTCTGCATCATTGACCATTGGCTATGGTATAGGCCGACTCATCTTCTGCACTTTGCCATGGGTGACAGCCGTGGACCTGCATGCTTGATAATTGGCACATCTTCTGCTGTCATACAAGTTACAAACTGTACAGTCCACAGCAGTTAGTCCAACTGACGAGACCCATAAGGTGGAAACCGGCGTCTAGTGCTTTTCCAAACTAGCCAAAACCTGCTGACTGAGAGTCGACCGTGATGAACTATCTCTAAATAGAACTAATTTAGAGATTCGGTGCAGCCCCAGGTAGGGTTACTAGGTAAGCACAAATTAAGTCGTCCACCAAGTTGGGATATCATTGCTTTGTAGCAACTGGCACATGCTATATTGTGGAGTGGATACAATGAGTTTGGAATCTTTGCTTTGCCCCTATCGGTAGCGCAGTATTCTACATGCTGTTCTGTTCTATGGCAGCTCTTCTTCGCAGTATCAACTGCGATTGTGGGTTTTGAACAGTTGCCTGGGGTTTGAGCAGCAGTTCCGAGTCGACACATCATTTTGGGCGACGGATTTTTAACTGACAATAACAATTTCTTCTAAAGATCTGAAAAATATTTGACACGGCACCAAGAACAACTTAAGGCCTCTTAGCTGCGATTGATTGAGATGCTCAATGGACAACTGAGCGTTCAATCAGGCCCAGTGCAAAGCGCGTGCAGATCTTTTGTTGATACATTACTCAGCAGTGTCACCGAATTTACTGTTGATCCCGAAGCAGAATCGATCTATGGCGCGTGGTTCAAGCGGCATGAGGATATCTTCAAAGTGGAACTGGCAAGCCTTGACGCTGCGTCGAGGGTTCGGCTGTTGCTGTGAAAGCTCAGAACGATGGGACATAACAGACCTAGCCCTAGCACTTTGACCAAAGAGGCGTTGGGTAGATTTCATTCAACTCTAGTTCCGTTGGGAGTGTCAACGAAGCCGGTCAGCAGTCACGTAGAGGCTTATAGTGCTTCACCATGACAGCTTGCAAATCCGACTCTTCCACACCTAATACATTCTGCCCCCACAGACGTATGAATCCAGCTATTCAAGAAGACCGAGCCGCTGTGTTACTGGGGCATCAGCAGCACGCCGGTGCAAAGTACTGACGCTTCGTTGCTGTGGAACCACCACCAGTGGCACGTTAGCTAAGGATATTTCGAGGGTCGCCCTGTCCCTGCGTAGCGTAGAGCCCGCACCGTCGGATCGCACTGCAGGCTAGTGATCTTCAAGACTCCTATTCTACTACTACTCCTACTACTCTGCGTTACCCAAGTAATTTTTATGCTCGAATCAACAAGGGACGGCCGTCGTCCACAGGCATAAATCATCGCCATCGACTTCTGAATCGACGGGCCCGGGTGTTTTGACGCACTTCTGAACTTCGATAGTCTTCTAATTCGGTCCAGTCACGACAAACTCTATGGTACTCATTTAGAAACTGGTAAGTCGTAATTTACCTGGACATACATTCTGTTGCAGTAGTTGTGGTTTTCCTTTGCAAAGCGCTATCAGTAGTATGAGCTGTAATCGATAGTCTGTTACAATAAAATTGAACGCGTGAAACAAACACTTTAGCATCAAACGTCTCGCAGCAAATAATATAAAGAACGTACCTGTCGCTCCCAGTTCGCACAGCAATTTTCCCGCATGAAGCCGGTCCCCGCTTGCCAGACACTCAACTTGACCACTGGGTGTGATTACCATGTCCACAAACAAGCTGGTCCACTCGGGTGTGGGCGGACAAGCTTCGATGACGCCACCTTTAAAGGACAAGGAGAGAGAAACCGTCCCAGTGCAGTGTGGTGAGGTTTTCTTAAGTAATTTGCATCATCCTTAGCGAACTCGACATTACACACTATACAAGAACAAAATTTACAAAATCTTGCAAAGTGTAGTAGCTTCAGGGGGACGGAGATGTTCATCGTCTGTAGAGCTGATGATGAGAATGTCATCTAAGTAAGGATAGAATCTTTCGAGACTTTCTTTTTACTTCATGAATGAAAAGCTGAAAAAAGTTTACGCAGCGCCATTTTGCTTGGAGCTCATTTCGATTGCAATGCATATTCACCGTGTGTGTTGTGCGTTTTCCGTTCCCATAGCTAGCAGTGTACAACGATGTTGTTTTCCTACAGCTAGGCAAACAGGGCACCTTAGGTTGTAAGAATAAGACTTTCCCTGCAACCCAATCTGCTTTCTGGAATCGATATCCGGGCTCCGGGTTCTCCCCAAGGCCCACAGTTCGCAGACATTTTGCTTGCGAAACTCGAATGAACGCACGTGAGTAGCAGTATCGCTTCAGTGTATTCTTAATGCCGTTACATGGATGACACGTTCATTGTCATGGATTGCAGCAGTCTACTAGACCACTTTAACCGAGTACATCCTTCCTTGTAATTTATCCCCCAGGGTCGAACAAGGTGGTTTCTTGGCCTCCCTAGACGTTCTACTGTGCAGAGGCGAGGATGAAACAATCGAAAGGAGTGTTTTTCGCAAAACAACGTAGGTAGGTCAATGCACCCACTTTCCCAGTTTTGTACCTCTGAGGTACAAGCGAAATTCAGCTCGCTGTCTGTACCATCGCACCAGATCCACCTGCAGTCCGGCGATGATTGAAAGTGAAACGGAGCTCATCTTCAGCACTCTGTAAAAAAATCGTTATCCCATACAAGTCATTAAGGCACATTCCACACAACATGATTCTGCAAAATCTGTGGTTGCAGTACCAAAAAGACATGTGTTCTTCCCGGTACATTTTAAATTTGACATAGCCTTCAAACTGTTGAAGTAAAAAATTCCAAACGCAGTGACCCATGCGTATCTAGCTGCTAAGATCAAAGTAGCTGCTAAAACAAAACTTTTAATTGCTCAGCATATAAAGGACAAATTCCCGGTCTGGGTCGAATTTTTCATCGTATACTAGCTTATTTGCATCTATGGTGCAAGGTACTTTGGACAAACGACAAGGTTGGTGTCCCAACAGATTGCTGAGAACTGTCCTACGTCAGTGCGACAGGCTACGGTGAAGAACATCAATAGTTCCATTCTAAAACACTTGCTTGAAACTGGTCACGAAGCTCAGATGATTGAGTCCTTTAAAGTCGTCGATACCATCCCTATACGTTACTCAAAAATGCTCAAGAAACATCTACCGGTCATCGCCTAGGTCAGAACTGTGCAAACAACGAACTCTGGTACAAGTTTTGACGTCGCCCTGGTCATAAACTTGCTCCAGCAGCAATTATCCAGCCTTGGTCGCGTGCAATTGCAGTTACCGCATAGTCTGATTGAGCAAACCATTAATATATATTTCATAATGTTCAGGTTACCAGTTGGGCAACAGTGTGATTTTATCCACGTTCATTTACCTTATCTTATCAAGGTTTTAACAAGCTTATTCATGTCATAATTTTCTTTAGAATTGCAGATGCCTGAAGTGATTTATCAGTTAATATATTCGTTGCACAGTTCTAGTAGAGGTTGTCAGAAGAAATATAGGGGTGACGGAACGGATTTATTGCTGGTATATTTTCCAGTCTCTTGCCTCATGTCACTAGGTTGTGCTCTGCTGATGTTTAACCTGACCGTGTAGCCATAGGGGAGTGGCGATGGTAGCGCCAGTCGCTCCTACTACGTGGCTTCAGCCGCCCTGCCGTAGCGAAGCAACTGAGGCAAAGCGGCTAGCTGTCACAGTGAACCAATGGAACGATGGTATATCACGGAGAAAAATTGCAAGCCAGATTCTGCTTTCGACACAGTCCGTTTGATCAAGATGCAATTGTGTCGCAAATTACAAATCTTACTGTTCCATTGCTTCATCACAGAGAATCAATATAAAGCGCTAAAACCAGTGGGCACCCAAACTCCACAAATGTATGGTTTACCAAATGCATAAGGCAGGAGTATCTATACGGTTAATAATCTCTATGGTGAATTCGCCTTATCATGTCACTGCGAAACGGTTGAATTGCATAGTTGAGCCTGCTAGAAGATCCCTTGTAAAACACACACAATCGAACAGCTTCGGAGTACTTCCCTGGTTGGAAGGCATAAACTTGATTCACAATTGCGTATTCCCTTGACGTGCAGTCGTTTTTCACTGATGTTTATTTGAATGAGAATGTCGATCACCTATGTGAGTTGATCACAACAAATAACAAGCGAATACAACTGCCCAAGGAAATGTTGAAAAATATGCTCTTACGGTGTACAAAAGATGTTAAACTTTGCTTTTAAGGAAAAGCACATAGACAGATCGATGGTGGGGCTATAGGCAGCTCATTAGGCCCCTTGCTGGCGGACGTACTTATAAGCATGATTGAAGAGAAAGTAGACATCAGCAAGCCAGCCACTTTACATAATCGCCATACTGACCATATACTGTTAGTCGTGGATTAAGTTGAAGGCATTGTACTTGTAACCAAAGCGTTTAATAGTGTACACCAGAATCTTACTGTGACTCGAAACTTAGCGTCACAATTGTCGCCCATACATACATATACTGCTCACACGACAGCCAGGTGGTTCAATTCAAAGGCCAACCTACCGAAAAGCGACGTGGACGAGTCAATATATATAAGTTAAGAGCTTTTCACGGATACATCACAAACACTCCTTAGTTCGAACTTTGTTCCATCGGGCTCATATGATTTGCATCACAGATACTCTGGAAGCTAAGAAAGAACTATTGTTTCTATGGCATCATCACGGCCTTCCGATTCGTTGCATGCAGCTGCTGACTTGTGTCAGTAACCCGCTCATCGAGTCATCGATTGGCCTAATTTACAATAGTGGATCGATGCGTTGTACAACATGCTGGTTAGAATATAGTTTGCCTTTCGTTTGCCTGACATGTTTTGCTTTGCGGTACTTCGACTAAGAGTCAGCCACTGAGCGTTAATTCCGCAATTGCCAAACTGTAACATTTTTCGACAAAGGTTAAACTTGGAATTATTTATTTTGAGCAATTTTACGCCGCCTGATCTCTTTAGGAAGGACACTTCGTCCAAGCCAACCCAAGGAGTTTGTAATCGTTGGAAACGAACCTTCTGTAACTACCTTGAGATTTTCACAATTTCACATCCCCAAATAAAACTTAGTGAAACCCAATCTATCAAACTACTGAGACAACACCTCGGTACAGAAGTTTAAAGTCTTTTTGATGCGTTGTGTTGTGTACGAAAGCACATCCCTGAAGGACTGCTTTAACGCCCTGGATGGCCTTTGTGGACCGCGGCAACATGTGTTATGGCGCGCCTAAGTTTTTCTCATTTACGATAGGGAGAAGAGGAGAATATATAGAAATTCATTAGTCGTACACCACAGCCCATTCCTGTTTTCCGTTAAAATGAAATTCCTGCAACGAAATTTGAAGAGTCGATGGCGGTGCAATGCTTTTGGTTGGCATACGAGACGATAAGCTAGAGGAAGCCTGCTGTCAGACGACGAGAAGAAACTCACTTGAGAAACAGCCTGTCCACTAGTCAGACAAAGGGAAAGCGTTGTGCAAAAATTAATTCTTTTTCGAAGCGATTCTCCTTCACCTGCCTTCCTTGCGGTTAAATTTCGACTATCACCTACCGACAAATGTTTCTTCACGTACTACTAAGTCGGCGTGCAACATGAAATAGTCACTGATGGCAGACACAAAGTCTACTTGTCATAAGTGCGGAAAGTTTGGACATGTTGCACGCGTATGTCATTCTACTGTGCTTCAACAAGCGATACCCCGCCCTGCCCAGTGTATTATTCGAACGGTAGCAAACACTGACGATCCCATGTTTCATCTAATTTCGCACACAATCACATCGGATGCAATGGGAATACTCTCGTACACCGTTGATTTAAACATTGAAGGCCAGCCAGTATGTCTGGTGATCGATACCGGGGCTTCGGTTATAGTGATCAACAACCGTACTTTACCTGACCTATTTCTGACACCGACGCAGTCTAACTTACGATCATACACCGGAGAAATACGCAAGGGTTTGGGCGTGGGTGGCGCGCAAGTAAACCATAGGGACAATACCTTAATTATTCCTCTAATCCTTGTTAATATAGACGGAGCAAATTTACTTGGAGGAACTGGTTGAAGTTCATCCTCCAAATAGTACAATCTATCTAGAAGGTGGACAGTGATTCTGACTTACCTACACTCTTGAAAGCTTTTGCCAGTGTTTTCGATGCAAATATACCTGGGAAATTACGTGGTTTCAAAGCTTGCTTGAATAGCAAGTCACAGACTCAAGCAAAATTTTACAAGGCACGAAGTCCATCTTTCGCAATCTGTCCGAAGGTAGAGTTAGAGCACCTAAACATGGACGGAATAAATGCATCTATACACCACTCTTCTTGGACTGCACCCATCGTTCTTGTACAGGGGCTTGATGGGCCAATTCGTATTTGCGGCGATTATAAACTGACGGTTGATCAAGCGACGACAACGGAACATTATCCGATGCCACGGATAGATGACTTTCAAGCAACTTTGTCGGGTGAACAATAGTTCTCGAAACTTGTTCTAATCCATGCTTATTCTCAATTGGGGCTGCAAGAATCTTCATAAGAAATTATAACCACCAATTCATACATGGGATTATTTTGCTATAACCGATTACCATTCGGGATAAACTCCGCCCCTACGATCTTTTAGCGAATTAAAGGCAACTTAGTGAAAGGCATACCCGAAGTTTTCGCTTGCTTGGACG